CAAAAAATTGTCATATATGTGCAGTGTTGTAAGCGATCTGGGATTGCAAAGGAAATATTTGTTGCAGATTACTTCCACAACGCAGAGAATAAATCATAATTTCAGACTCGAACATCGGAGGCAGAAAGAAATGCCGAAAACTCGATTCGCAGGTATTATCTCACAAATCACAATGCACGTAACCAGTCAGAAAAATAACTCACTCTCCGACAAACGCATTTCCCCCGATTCGAGAACACCAACTGCATTTTTTTCCATTCGTCGACAACCGGGAGAGGACGCTCAATTTTTATAGCGCCTCCTTCGATGGACTTGTTTTTTAATTTAAATATTCCGTCTTCATCATGTCATGCGGAATACGTGCCCCTTTTTTGCTAAGTAATTTTCTTCTTCGCCACATTTTCCGTCATAGGATACATGCGATGCGCTGACGCTTGGTTCGACGAGGTAAGTCGCCATTTTCTTCGCTATAAGTGTTTCTGTTGATATTTTTAATACTTCATATTTGTTATCAAAAGAATTTATATCTGCCCAGTTAAAATTGAATCACAAGTTAAAAAAAACGTTAAGCGTTCGTAATCAGCATTGCTGTCATCTGAAATTTCATATTACTATAAATTAGCCAAACATAGTCGAAAACATGTTTAAGGAATTATCTAAATGAGTCAAAATAATCTATTCAGTTATATTTACATAAACTGTACAGAATTTTTTAAACAAGTGAAAAAATAAGTTTGCAGAAATAATAATAATAATAATAATGCTGAATACTCACAGCCAGTGAGTACAAGGATAGGGTAGGTCAATATTTGCATTGGAAGATCTGTCATCACTATGGGCTAAAAAAACAGCTACAAACTGGTGTGAACATCATCTTGAATCTGTAGTCGAGTGAGCAGATGTTACCATTCTCTGAGATGTTCCTATCAACACAGATCGAACGACCCACCGAACGTCTGATTCACACCCCACCCAGCACTTTTGGACAGGGGTAGAGGTTTATTCCGTGTTTCCTGTTTAGGATTAAGTTTCTGGTTCCTTCTGAAGTCTACTTTAATTCTATATTTTTATCGTCTCAGCCTGAACTTTATTTAATTCACTAATTATTTTCCCACTCAATAAGAGAAGATAAATATGTGACAAATATGGCGACAAAGATGAGGACAATAGTCCGACTAATGTAAATTCTGTACATAATACCTCATCTCAGAAATATAGACAGACTCTGAAGAAAAGATAGGTTAGTCTGTCGTCTGGCTCACAATCTTCCCCGATCTTTTTCAACAGGAGTAGAGTTTAGTAGGTTTAGTCCTTGTTCACTGTTTAGGATTGGTTTCCTCGTTACTTCTAAAGTGTTTTCATTCTCTTTTACTCCCAGTAGGCCGTTGAGTCTTAGGGGCATTATCGCTTTGATTCGAGTTAGCAGATTATAAACATCACTCAGACATTATTATAAAAGACAGAAAATAAAAAGTTGTCATACTGATTGACATGAGTGTATCAAGTGACAAAGATTTTTGAAAAAGTAGGCAAATACAAATTCCTGGAGATGGAAACAGAAAAAAATGTGGTACTTAAAACTAAAACTGTTCATATTTTGGCTGGTGCTCTGGGTCTGATAAAGAAAGAAACTCAACAAGAAATTAAAACAACAATCGTTGTGCAGCATCTCTGCAGGAAATAAAAAAAAATATAGTTCTAACAAGCACTTGCAATATCCGAAGAAGATCTTTGTATATTTCAGTTTTGTTTAATAGCTTTCTTTTGTTTAATGGAAACAACAGAATCACATTCTTCGTTTGCCCAAATTTATTGGTTATAATTATAAAACAAATATAGGTCTTGAGAATATTTGTTAAATAATAATAAAAAATGAAAAAATATCATTATTATTATTATTAGTAGTAGTAGTAGTATTAGTAGTAGTTGTAGTAGTCCCTTTGGTTTCTGTCGTATACTGATTTTCTTCTGGGTCCCAACCAGAGACCTAAGGTCAAAAATGGCTTCATGACATCTTCCACTGAACATTTTTGTAAAAAATGTAAGAAAAATAATAAACAACCTAAAAGGACACACATTTTACATAGATAAAACCCTTCGTTAGGTGTGATCTGTACTCGTGAGAATATTTTTTTGTATTTCTTTAAAGCTTTCAGTTCCTGAACAATTTTAACCCTTCTGCCTGAGCTCTTGAGTCAAAATTCGCAAGTAATTGGCATGTAATGTTTTATGGTAAATATAAAAATAATTACCCACCGTTCAACCGGTAACTGGACATTAAGTCATTTTTCTCTACCACTGTTCAACCGGTGGCTGGGCATTACGTCATTTTTCCTTACCACCGATAAAGCGGTGGTCAGGGCTCAAAAGTTTAAGGCATAATATACCCCGATTTCTCTTCAATGCATTTTAAAATGAAACCCAGGGCCTCAACCACAACAGGATTTACTGATATCTTCATGTGATACATAAATTTAGATTTCCACTTCAAGCTGTTTGTAGTTTTATAGTTTTTGTTTTTTTTTAAAAAGATCTTCAAAGATATATTAGATTCTGCAGTAATTGCCATGTCAATAAAAGAGCAACTTTCTGTACTTTTAATCTTTAATCCCTATATCTGGTCGATTATTTTTTTAATTATTTGCTGTGAAGATGAACAAAACAAGACATGGACTCGTCCAAATACATATGGCCTGATGCTGAGAATTGTCAGAAGACGAGAAGGAATTACAGATTTAGCTTATCTGCTTACTGCAGATTTCAACAAGACTGCATTGACTGCAAGCGACATTCTATTTCTTGATTGTGTCATCTTCAGTCATTGCGATGAAGACATAACATTATTATTACTGTTATTATTATTATTATTATTATTAAATATAAAACAATTATAGGTCAAAAGGATTTTTGTTAAATAATAATAAAAAATAACAATTAATCATTATTAGTAGTAGTAATAGTAGTAGTAGTTGTTGTTGTAGTAGTTGCTTTGATTTCTGTTGTATGCTCATTTCTTTCCGGGTGCCAACCAGAGACCTAACCTCGGAAATGGCATCATGAGATTTCCACTGAGCAATTAAAAAACAAACAAACAAAAGAAAAACATATTTTATATAGATAAAGCTCTTCGTAAGGTGTCGGCTGTCTTCGAGAGAAGAATTTCTTTGTATTTCCTTAAGGCATGGGCTACCAGGAATCTCTTCAATTAATCTATTGAAATCTTTTCCAACCATTCCGAGGGCTCCAATTACAACAGAGATCGTTGATGTTCTCATGAGCCATATTTTTTTGAGATTTCGATTTCAAGATCCTTGTATTTTGATAGTTTTTTCAAGATCTTCAAAGATACATTGTAATCTGCATTGATTGACTGCCATATCAATAAAGAGGCAATGTTTTGTTTTGTTTTTTCGGTCTCTAATAACGATGCCTGGGCGATTAGCTTTGATTGTTCTGTGTGTATTGTGAAGTCCCTTAAAATTGTTACAAGTCGTTCATACCGTATTATTATTATTATTATTATTATTTTCTTTGATTTCTGGCGTTTACACATTTCTTTCCGGGTCCCGCCCAGGGACCTAAGGTTAGAAATGACATCATGACACTCTCCACTGACAAAAAAAAATTACATAGATAAAGCCCTTCGTAAAGTGTAGGCTGTACTTGTCAGAACAATTTTTTGTATTTCCTTGAGGCATGGACTTCCAGGAATCCCTTTCAGTTAGTCTACTGCAATCTTTTCCAACTACAACAGTCCTATGGCTCCAACTACAACAGGGATTGTTGATGTTCTCATATGCCACATTTTCTAATTATTATTATTATTATTATTATTATATATTGCAACATTATTTAAATCTGTCTCTCATTATCAATTCTATGTGACATTGTCAAGAGTAGGAAATGAACTTATCATAATAAATAAACAAACATTTGAAACTAGATATCCTGTTCAAAATATTGTTTATACAGATATTTTAGACAGGAAAGATATCTTCTATGACAACTTACTCTCCCCATGTTCATATAAAAGGTATTCTTTTAGCTTTTTCTTCGTAAGGTTCCTTGGAGTAACGGCCATTGGAGACAATGTCCGTAAGACAACTAATCGACAGTCGGAACAATAGTGTCTGGGCGTGATAAAACTCTGATGGAACATACACCCCGAAAATAGATTCATATTACTGCACACCCCTGAAAATGACCTAATCTTAAGAAAAATAAAAATCAATTACACCCTATCACTTCAATTGGTCTAAAACTGAGCGTATGGTGAAAGAAAGGAAACTAAAGCGGTTGTTTCTATTAATTTGCACAAAGGTGTTTGTGTGGACAACGTTACAAGTGTCAGCTTTTTTCGCCATTATTCCTCTCCGTTAAACATCAAGCAAACACTCGCTTATCCGAATGTCACTTATCCGAATTTCGCTTATCTGAATATCGCTTATCCGAATCTCGATTATCTTTTATGCAAGCTCACTCACAAGAGCGCAAACAGATATACGCATATATTATTATAAACTATTATTCATAGATTAAATGTTACTCCTGACGTTATAAGGTATGCTGAACTAAATTTTCTTCGTTAATGTCTCAAACAATAATTAACAGGAAAGAAAATTCTAAATAGCAAATGTAATTGATATTGATACCAGACGCAATAAGTAAATTTGCACAATGTTCTGTGAGAGTGTTTGTAAATGAGTTTTCACGAATGTATTTACAGTAAAATTTTACGTTTTTCCACCGTTCAGCAAAATCATTGGTAGTAATGGCGTCCGCCTATCGCTCAGCACTAACAATTTGATTGAATTTTGTCAGCGACGTTAGTTGTGTTGCGTGCAAAGAACAAAATGATTAAAAAAAAATAATAATGAAGGAATAAAAATGCAAATAAATAAATGAAGGTTTGTGTGTGTGTGTGTGTGTGTGTGTGTGATTGGCATAGGTTTTCGGAGGTGAAAGGAGTTGGATTGTGCGTGCATTGCATAAATAGTGACGATAGACTGAAAAGAAATAGAAAGAATATGGCGACAGATTCCGCGGTAAAAATAAGGAAGCAAAACAATGATAGGAAGGAAGCAATGCATGAAGGTTTCAACAGATTTCTGGACGTGATAACTGATATAAAAAGGTAGACAATATATATAGACAATGTAGACAATATGCAAGGCAGACAGAGAGAGGGAGTGGGGAGAGAAATAGATGGAGAGTCAGATTTGCATAAATATCTAAATCTATATGAGGTCAGATAGATTAGATTGGAATAGTGAAAGAAAGAAAGAAAGAAAGAAAGAAAGAAAGAAAGAAAGAAAGAAAGAAAGTGTAGATATGTACAGGGACAGATATTAGAAGATATAGTTGGAATAGATATGAGCAGACTGAGATAGATAGATAGATAGATAGATAGATAGATAGATAGATATGAAGGGATATAATCGAGACAGGAAAAGACTAACACACACACACTCACACACACACACAAACAGTAGTTTCCCAACTCGGGATCTTTTATATGGCAGGCTTGGCTTATGCTCTGATCAAGTGCCGGGAGCACCTCGCCCTAGAGCATTTGCTTGGGTTTTCTATTGTCTTGAAGACGAATGACATGACATGACTCACCGAAACCCGGAGCGATGGAGACTGTCATCTTTATGCACATCTTACGCCCTCTCTTATTGAAACCAGAATCGATCTTTCATACATTCTGATTTCCTTACAAGAGCAGATATTTCATCGACAAGAATGCAGTGCCTGATTATAGTGCTTCCAAAGTATATGAATCTGTCTACAACCTTCTGTTTGGGTGACTAAGCCACTGTCATTGGTGTACAGAAGGTACAGTAAATATATAGATGGATAAATATAAGAAAATTTAGTTGATATAGATAGATAGGTAGATTGTATATTGCATATGATGGTGAGCTCCCAAAGTATATGAATCTGTCTAGAACGTTCAGTTTGCGGCCATACACAAATAGTGATGGTTCGATGTAAGGTTAATCGGAAATAATTTGCAACATGACCACTGTCTTATCCAGGCAGATAGTTAGGACTTTGCAGGAACGGAAAAGAGTATGCATCAGAGCCTGTATTTGCTATTCTGTTTGGGTGACTAAGCCACAGTCATTATTGTACAGAAGGTAAAGTAAATATATAGATGGATAAATATAAGAAGATTTAGTTGAGATAGATAGACACGTAGATTATATAATGTATACAATGGTGAGATCTTGTCTTAAAGTGAAAACCAGTTTAAAATTCTGAATTTAAAACCAACCCGAAGAAGGATAGCTCCACTATTTACATTATTCGGACTATTGTCCTCATCTTTGTCGCCAATTTTATTACAACGTTTCGGCCGTTGTACGTTCCGGCCTTCTTCAGGTGATTGGAATGTCGACTTGAACCCTTTGTTTCTTTCACTGGTGTAGACTGTTCTAGTCCCACGTGCCATGTCTAATGGATGTCAGTTATCAGTTATCTCCTGTTAATTCCCCTCTCCAAGTTCTCCACTGCCTTAACAAGGTATTGAATTCACACTCTTTGGGTCCTGTCACTGGATCTAACCTACGTCTTTATCCACTCTGCCATGTGTCCTTGAAGACATATGTGTATGATGATGTTAGGATAGTTAGGAGTTTGCAAGGAAACGGAAAAGACTATTCACCAGAGCCTGTATGTTCAATTTGTCGCCGTACAAAGTAATGGTAAATCGGGAGCAATTTGGAACATGACAACTGTCTTATCCAAGCAGTTAGTTAGATCATACTTTTTATATGCCATGTCATTTCAAGACGTAGGCAATCATGGCTCTCCACCTCCTCTATCCCTTGCAGCTCTCAACAATTCTCTTCCCTCTGCTACCTCCCTCAGAACACGTTCTATCATCCACTTACTTAATCCCGCTGGATATGTTGTTTTCCCTTGTATCTATTTCCCTTTATTCGACCCGTGAGTATCAGATTCTCCAAGCCCTCGTTCCTCATTAAGTGTCTAAGAGTTAAGCTTTTACAGGAACGGAAAAGATTGTCTATCAGAGCTTGCAGTTTCTATTCTGTTTGGGTGACCAAGTCACTTTCATTGGTCTACAGAAAAGTCTTGGAATGTTTTAGATTTAGCAGAAAAACGTCTGATTTTGAATAGTTTACCATTTGTATGATATCGAATGTTCCATGGAAAGTTAAGCTTTAACCTTTTTTGTAAAATGATTTTCCCTCCAAACAAGGCAATAAAGCCACTAAGACACAAGCGGTTACTTAGTGTGAGAGAATATGAAAAGAGAAAACATTAAGGGTCAGATAACAATGAAAGGAGAGGAATTTAGAAGACAGAATATAACAATTGATATTGCATTTAAATATTTGAAAATCAAAGTTAGCTGGAAAGCAAGAACCCTGATGACAGTTCCACAAGGGGGAATTGTGATAGAAGAAACTGTTAGCATAGAACCTACGGTTAGATCTATCTATTTCAAGAGTAAAAGGACGAGAACTTGCCATCAATGTTGTACTGCGCTTAAATTCATAAAGCCTTGATACCAAAGAGGAAAAATCGTTAGAACAATTACCATGGAAATATTTATAGAAAGGGCAGAGGAAAGCTACGTTGCGGTGGTGGGAAAATTAAACCGAGATACCAGGTCAGAACCAATAAGATTGCAGATTCTTCTTTAGATTCATCAAGAATCTCGAAATACACAGCAAAAGTAGCAGGCCAAACGTGGTAGATGCATATATCTTTATAACTCTCAAGATCGATACAGTTATCCAAATTTTCTAACAGCAGACATAGCAATATATATATATATATATATATATATATATATATATATATATGCCTTTAAATTCCTTGAGGAACAGAGAGCCACGGTTTCTTTAAAAAGCCGGTTTTTTCAAGTTGTTAACCTACTGCACAATCCCAACTTCGAGGATCGGTTTTGAATTCAGAGATGTCTTTCTCCTAGAGCAATTGCACTCCAAGGCTATAGATCCCTGTCTGTCTTGCTATTTACCCATAGCTGAGGGGCAAAAGAAGAGGATTCATACCTTTCCGAACCGTATTAGGACGTAAGTGAATGCAATGGATTCGACTGAAATTCGAACTCGGCTCTCCGATTCCTTAATTCGACCCGCTATCCATTAGTCCACTGTCCCTCCTCAGACCATGCAATTGATCCAATATAATTTTTCCACTTCATTTCAGGGGAAAATGTCATCTCGAAAAGACACAAGGATTCACTCTCATGGAAGTTAGCACTGAGAGAATGTTTAGACAACTAAATGTTATTTTATGAACCGATATAATTATCAGTATGAAAGTGACAGCCTGGAAAAGCTGGCATATGCAGAAGAGCTTCCCATGCTAGCTCTGTAATCGTTTTTCACACAAGGATACGAATTGCGATTTATAAAATCCAATGGTCAAATTTACGGCTAAGAAGGAAGATGTTTCTTTTTCAAAGCATCATTCAGCCATGTCGTCTTCAAAGCTCAATTTCATGTCGTTCCCTTGGAAAAGCTATAAATTCCTCTCTTCTCGTAGCTATAGGTTGAATATCAGAACAATCTATCCCTGATTGACTATCAGTCTAGGAGAAGGACAACACTGAATTCAAAACTGGTTACGTGGTTCTGGGGAGAAGCATACTCTATAACTATTTATAAAGATTATGGAATCTATAGTTAATTCCAGCAAAACTATATCGTCTCAACTGAGGCCAAATAAAATATGTATATGGTGGAAGGTTACGAAGTTACACCAATGCCGCACAACTGATCCTGAAGATATTCAGATATCGGTGAATAGTTTTCGAACAAACTTCTTATACATATATACTTATATAACTACATATATACAAAACAAACAAGACAGAAACTGACACACATACATACATACATGGGCACCTAGAGGCGGTGTAATGGTTAGCAAGCTTGTCTCGCTAGCCCAATTACGAATGAGTAGTGAGTTCGATCCTCACTGGGTGCCCCATACTTTCGGCCTTGTGCCACATCTAAGCTACGCTTGGAAAATCGTCACATATATATATATATATATGTGTGTGTGTGTGTGTGTGTGTGTGTGTGTGTGTGTGTGTGTGTGATTGAAATTAAAGAGGATTTCAGATAATTAAGTAATAATTACTTAATTATCTCAAATCCTTAATTTCTATCATTTGTATATCCTTGCTTGAGCTAGCTTCTAATGCTCTGGATGGAGCGGCTTGGTGATGGTAGTCGTGGCTCTCGGAGGCACAGTCCTATGGGTAAAGGAATTTAGATGAGTTCCTCCACGGAATATGTGAACGAGCGGAGCAATATCGAGTCTAGTTCGCTACCTCTTCGTCACCGAGGCCCGTTAGTACAGTTGGTATGACGTTTGCCTGTCAATGTAGTTCTCCAGGTTCCAGTTCTCGGTAGTGGATGCGCACTGCTGATGCGCCCCAAATATAGGACGCAACGGCCGTCCAGTGAATTCTGCATTCTGTTGAGGTTTCTTCTAGACTCAATGAATTACTTAATATATATATATATATATATATATATATATATATATATATATACCGGGTGTAACAATAAATTTGTCCACATCGTGTAAAAGCACGGGATAATTGTCCATCCCACAAAATGTTTAATATCTAAAAAAAAAAACTAATTGAGTTTCTTTTTTCCAGGTTTTCAATAATGTGACGGTTACACACCTGGCCCAGTGTCGGATCCTTTGGTTACGGCGCCAACGGTGACGTCGCTCCTCCTGGTCGTTCCTCCTGGGTCCAAGCGTGCCGCTCCAACCCTTTGGTCAGATGATCACCAGCCTCGCCTTTCCCGACTCGCTTCCAATACCTGGTCACTAAAGCAACTATACCGATCTCCGGTCTGTCTACCCACGCTGTGTTTAGATCTTAGACAGACGGGACCAGCAGGGATCGGGGCCGATACAAGTTGAGTCCGACGGGGTGGCAAAACACAAATAAAATAAAAACTCACGACACCAAACAAAATTGCTGATAAAAAGGGTAACAACCTTTTTATATCTTAAAGTCCGTTACATAAAAACAAAATTGTTCTCAATTCCCGACCCGCTCTGTGGACTATGGCACCAAGCTTCTATCACACAATAGGAAAATGTCGAATTACCTACTTTTCTAGAATCATGTATGTATGTCGGGTGTGGTTCAGTTCGACACTGGGGCTAATTTCTATCGATCATTCGCAGTTGATTCTTCTCTCCGACTTGAGTTGTATTTCTTCTTCTTCTTCTACTTGGGCTGGAAGTTCTTCTTGTCTGAGGGTTCTTTTCTCGCTGCCGTCCGGGGATGAACTTTAACTTCTCATCGACTTTCGGCTTGTCTGCAGCTCCAATTCTTCTCAGGCTTTCAGGCAATCTTCTTCTTCGTCTACTTGGGCTGGAAGTTCTTCTTGTCTGAGGGTTCTTTTTCTCGCTGCCGTCCGGGGATGAACTCTGCCTGCAACTTCACTCCAACTTCAACTCAACTTCAGCTCCAACTGATTTCTGTCGACTGGGGTCCTGCTTTTATTGACGCCGCAACAAACTGGGGTGGGTCTGTCGGCGTCAGGGTTTTCTGATAATTTCAAAAGCCGTATTAATTTTGACTTTCCATTATCGTTATTGTTTTCACCCCTACTTTCTCACAGTGCTCTT